AAAGTATTGAAAAAATATTTAATATTAAGCTTAAGAATATATTAAGACGTTGTTAGTTTGAGGTATCATATAATTTTCTGAAATTAGTCAAAAGATCTCTAGGTAAATAAGAAAATAAAATTTTGCCACCTTAACTAAAGCAGTAGTATTATAAATAAAATCATTTTAAACAGGCCCTTTGAGGAATGGAGTTTTCTGGCTAAAAACCCCTTTTGTTTCAATTCTTTGCATAAATGTTTACAAGCATAATGGTCCACTTTCCTGCCTTAGAGAAATGTATATTTAGAATATAGTAGCCTCTTTGTAGACTGAAAATCTTTCATCATTCTAAATAACAGTTATTATGGTACGGTAGCGTGGATGGCCTCACAAGTAGGAGGAGATTAGGCTGAAAGTAATCACAGGGCATATGATGAAAAGTTACCAACCTCCAGCCTCTCCTCCCACCCTCTAATCCCTAATCTCAGTTTTGCTTTAATTTTCATATTCCCACTTCTTCTGACAATGGAGTATAGAACATTTCCTAACAAATTGAGAATCTGGTTTTTTAAAACTTAGAATTTATTAGAGGAGACCTCAGAGATTATTTAGCCTACCACCCTCATTTTATAGATTGAAAACCTTGGAGGCATAGGTTAATTGACTTGCTCAAAAAAGCAGATTCACTAAAAGAAACAACTGACACTTTAACAGTGTCCCAAATTTTGGTGGTTATCTTTGATCTTCTTTGAAACAGGTAGATCGACACTTGAGAAAGCTGGATCAGGAACTGGCTAAGTTTAAAATGGAGCTGGAAGCTGATAATGCTGGAATTACAGAAATATTAGAGAGGCGTAAGTAAAATTTACAGTTTTCCATCAATATTGGATAGTACATGTACAAATCACTGAGGTGACACTTGTCCCATAGAGGATTTTCAGATCCTGCCCTTCGGTGGATGGTGACATCTGGGTCAGATAGCTTGCACCCTAGCAGTTGAAACTGTTTGGGTGGTGGATACTGAGAAGGATAATATAGGATATCATCCACTTATTCTTTATGAAAATAACAAATTATTCTATTTTGAAATATCAACATATGGCTAGTAAGATGAGTGGTAAGAACCAAGATTAACAGAAATATAACCATCAAGAAACAAATTAACCATTTTTCATTAAATGTTTTGACATTGCCCTGCCTATTTACGCATTCTAACTTTGAGGGAGGTTGTTAGTTTTTCTTCTTAAGAACTGCTCTACGGTTTTTTCCTCAACTGTTTATACTGAGAAAGATTCTAATTGGTTCCACAATACTTTCTCATTTTCTTAAAAAAGTCTTTCCTAAACTTTCCCTTATCAGCAAGAAGTCATTTTAATATTTCTTTGCAAGGCTCAACTTGATCTCCTGCTATAACTTACCCATCACTTCTTTGATCTCCTGCTATAACTTAACCCCTGTCACTCAGGAGACTTCCCAAAAATGGAAGTATGAGCTTTCTTTAACTAATTTAGCATCTCTTTCAACCTATAAATAGGTAGTGTACATAAAAGCAGGTAGTGTGGTACTAGGCCCAGAGTAGGCATTCACTAAATTTTAATTGAACCAAATTAGTATTATGGTTAATTTCTACTAGAATTTAATTAAAACTTTCAAACATAATTTTTCTTTGGTGCATTTCAACAGCAAGATTATGTACCTGTTTCTACACACAGATGAAAGGTTTCTTCATATTGCTAGTCTATGTATCTCTCTGTTTATATACTCACTGGAAGTCAGCCAGAGAAGCCAGTCACAAATCTGTCTTAGTATCCATAGTTGTACTTGTGTATTCAAAAGTATATCCATCACTTAGGTGATCATCTGATTTATCTGTGATACTTTTTTCTAGAGGAACCCTTTCTGAGGATAATAAGTATTTTGGGACAAAATAAAATAATCTGTAGATGCTTTTTTTTTTTTTTAAATGCTGATGATAGCTGTGAGTAATGATAATTCATGCCTATTCAGTACTGCAGGAAGGTTAATAAAGCATCCTCTCTAAGGACACAGACATATGAAACTAAATTGGATTAAGTTACAAAAACTACTCTACCCTGTGCCCTGCCACAATTTCATCTCAAGGGATCAAAAATAAACCCAGAAAATTTCTCTAAAGGTATTTTAAAGCTTGGTGTTAGAGACTCTATTTCTTTCTTTTTGCAAGCAAAATCCCTAACTTCTTTTAGGAAGTTTTTACTATCATATGTCATTTTAATGGTCAAAGAATTTTCTTTCCCGTAGGAATGTCCCCATTGCCTAGAACTTTAGAATCTCCCATTAAAAGGTCTTCAACTCAGTAAAACTAGGTTGAGTCTTATTAGTAATGAGGTTATAATGTCCATTGATTGATTTATGTGGCACCCACTGTAGTGGATTCCCTAATTAGACATTAACATGCCTTGAGCCGTTTTGTACTTAAGGTGAATATTGAGAAATGGATTACTTACTGTTTAGAGAGAGGATAGCTCAGGGTGGAAGGGGCAGTGTTGACCCTCTGACATGTCCGGCTAAAATTATACAGGCATGTGCATCAGAGCTTGCCAGTTCTCTCCTGGGTAAGAGAATTCATTGCCTATAGTTTGACATGTAAAGATCTATGGTGACGTTTAATGGTGGTGTATCTCTGTGCCTCTCTTTTTTTTTTAGGATCTTTGGAATTAGATACTCCTTCACAGCCAGTAAACAATCACCACGCTCATTCACATACTCCAGTGGAAAGTAAGTTTGGTTTAGTACAGCTAAGTTTTGAATACAATTAGAAATTTATTATATCACCCTTATATTCTCTTTTATTAACTCTATATAACCAACTGAGAAATAAAT